TTTTATCTATGGTTATAATTTTTGTATTGATAGACCTTTTTTTTTTTTTTTTTTTTATTTCTTCTGTATTTTTTTTTTTAAATTGATCATAATTTTATTATAGTCTATATTAATTTAATTTAAATGTTTAAAATATTTAAATTTTTTAAATGTCTTGATAGTTTTCCTTTATAAAAAAAAAATTTATTCATAAAAAATATTTTCAGAAAAATAAATTTTTTTATATATATGCTTTTTTTTTTTTTTATTTTTTTTTTTTTTTTTTTACGTCTACTTATTTTTGGTCTTTTTTTTTTTTTTTCCAATTAGGTGTTGTTATATAATATACTCAAAAAAAAAAAAATTACTTCTGTTTATATTTGTAATATTATATTTATCAAAATTCATAAGATATAATTTAATTCTATATATGATAAAGTTCAACTTTATCCATGTTTTTTTTTTTTTGAACTTTCTTTTATTTTCTCTTATTTTATGGTTTTAAATCTTGAATGTTATATTTCTTCTAAATATTTTGTATGTTATTTTTTTTTTCTTCATTTATATCCATTTTTCTTAGGATATACATACAATTACTATAAAATAAATTTTCATAAATTTTCATACTGTAGTTAATAATTTTTTTTTGTTCAAGTAATTATTTTCACAAACCACTTTAGATATATATGCATAAACATAAAATTATACAAAATACGTGATTTATTTAAATTTTACATTTTTAATTTCTTTTTAAAGTGAGTAGACTTGCAAGGTTTTAGAGAGAAAAAAAAAAACTGTAAATCAAATTTTATATGTTTTTTTACATTTTACTAATTGGAGGTAAAATGAAAAAAAATATTTTTTATTTTTATTTTTTTTGTTATTTTAATATTATTCAATATAGTACTTTATATTCATATCTATTTAGCAATATTATGTAATCCTTATTCTTTAATTTAATGTTATTTGCTTGTTAATATGAATCAATTATAAATTATATTTAACATACTAACAATATCAATAGAATGGTATAGTTTCTATGTTTGAAGTTCTTTAATATAATCCCTTAATAATAATTTGAAATAACACAAAACTAAAATATAAAAAAATAAAGAGATAATAAAATAAAGAATATTAGTTTAATATATATCAATAAAATATGTAACATATATATATGCAAAAATATATAAAAAAAAATTGTTCATTTTTTATTTTTTTTTTTCATATTTAATATATTTTATTTACACATAGCTAGTGATAACAAGTATTTATCTCCATATTTTGCTATTTGCCGTAAAATTATATCATCAATAACAATGGATAATAATAATTCAATTATTGGTGATAATCTTAGTAAAATAAAACAGTCGTGCATTCCTTTTACACTTAATTTACAAAAATTCCCCTTGAAATTATATGTTTCTTTTTCTACTCGAATTGAAGAGACGGGTTTGAATGCCGATCTAAATACTGTATTGTTTCTTGTTGTAATATCAGTCAAAATACTACCACAATTATTTTTTTCCATAATTAAAATATTTTCTTTATATATATTTTTACACATATTTGAATGCTCCATATTCATATTTTCATTATCATTTTAAAACAATATTATCATATTCTCTTTTATTATAATTTCTTTGTTCTTCATTTTTACAGTTTTTTTTTTTTTTTTTTTTTTTTTTTTCATTGTATTTAACACATCCATAGGTGTCTATCAAATATCTATAGAATATTTTTCTTAAATTCTTGCCTTACATAGTCAGGTAGTTTTATATATCCAGAAGAATGTACATAACATATAATTATGAAATTATAAAATTTTTTTAACCATTGCTGAATACATGTTCCTACTACCACCTTTATTGCTGTTTCTCTTCCTGAAAATTTCCTACTTCCACTTTTATTTTTAGCATGATATTTCATAAAATAAGTGTAATCTCTATGACCTATCGTAGGTATATTTATGAACAAGCTATAATTTTCTTTCCTTATCATAATATATTTAAAATATTATTGGAGTTCCTAGGATTTTATTTTCATTAAAACCTTATAATATAACCAATTTATCTTTTTCGATTTTACTGCTTGTTAATTTTGATTGACTTGGTCTTTTCCTATTTGTTTTTGAATTTAAATTTTTTTCATCGTTTGGTAGAACGATATTTATAATGCAACCCATTGCTTTACCAAAAGAAGTAACTTTTTAGCAAGGTTTTTTGTGCTCATAATATTTAATTTTTTTCAAAAAAGAAAAAAAAATTATTTGTATTTATATTTATAATCCTTTAAATTCAACGAAAATGTCCAGAAATTAAATAGAAATGTTTTATAAAAAGCACCTTTTTATATTTTTTTAAAATGATAAAATTTTGAAAAAACTTTTATTTTTCTTAGCTTTTTTTTTTAAATAAAATTTTTTTTTTTTATAATATTGAATAATAAAATAATATTTATTAAATAAGCTTTCGAACAATCAATTTAAATTGCATTTTTCTATCAAGCAACTAAAAAGCATTTATATTTTATAAGATTTTGAGCTACATTAAATATTGCCTACAAAACAAAATTATCAAAGCAAAATAAAAATTTAAGAATTGTTAGAAAGTGCGCAATTTTTTTAAAGAAGTATTAAATACAACATTACATATGGACATTTAAAAAAAAAAAAAAAAATTATATTTATTTATTTTTATAAAATTAAAAAGAAATTTAAGTTACATTTTTTATAATATTTTTCAAAAATAAACTTATTTCTATACTAAAAAATTTTTAAAAGAACATCTCAACTTTTGCATCAGTTCTATATTGTATAAATTAAAATTTTAGAACTTTCAAAAAAAAAAAATTAAATAAAAGAATTATAAAAGCATAATAATTATGCAATAAAAAAAAAAAAAATAAATGAATAAAGAAAAAAAAAAAAAAAAAAAGGCTTTAAAGCTAATAAGAATGAAAAAAAAATTTGTATTGAAAAAATAAAATTAAAAAGAATATATATATTATAAATGAAAAAAAAGAAAGCACTTTCTATTAAAAATTGAAAAAGAGAGAAAACCGTAAATTAAGAGCTATCCTCAATAGTAAATACATTACTGTCAATGTTACTTGCTTCTTGATTATTTTCCGTTTTATTAAAAGAATCTTCAAAATTTTCTTTTACTAATTTTTTATCTTTTAAATTATCAGGATCTATTACTATTTCGAAACAGTTATAATTATTTGATTCATTTTCATTATTTTTTATACTTTCATTAATTTCAGTTCCTACATTATCACGGGAATAACTGTTTTGGTTACTACTATTCTGAAATATATAATTATCTTCTACCTCATATTCCTTCTCCTCGTTTTGTTCAACTGTGGTTACATTCATGTTTTCTTTATCTTCTGTTGGTTCATTTACTTGTTCTTCTAATTTATCTTTTTCTGTTTCTAAAAGATTTTGAATATATTCATTTTCATTATACTCATTTTTGCTTTTATCTTTTCTCATTTCTGGTGGAGTTTTTGGCATACTAATTGAAATTTGAGCTACTTTATCATCAAAATTCATATTATTACTATTTTTATCATAATTATTGATTAATTTTTTATTTAAAAAATATCCATTTGTTCCAATTTCGGGTAAGGCCTATATGCAACAAAAAAAAGATTAAAAAAAAATGTTTTTATATGCATAATAAAAAATACAGGTATTATATTTATTTTTTTCTTTATTACAGTTGAATTAACATGATCATGAGAATAATTACAATAGTAATTACAGCAATATATTCCTATAAAAACAAAAAAAAAAAATAAAATAAAATAAAATACATTTGAAAAATGCAAAATTTTCTAATAATTTTTTTTGTTTTTTTTTTCATTTTACCAAATTTACAAGGAACATCAGGATGAATATATATACACTCTGATCCAAAAGCACAGTATGGCCAATTTCGGCACTGGATATAAAGAAAAAAAAAAAAAAAAAACATATGCATATAATAACAAATAAAAGGATAAAAAATCAAATATACAAATATATATATTAGTAATATTTTACATTTTCGCTGGGATGAATATAACGGCATTTTTCTCCATATTGGCAATTTGGTAAAAAAAGGCATTTTTTTTGTATCTATTAAAAAAAAAAAAAAAAAAAAAGTAATGTATATATTATAAAAACAATATAATGTATATATATGTTTTTTCAAATATCCATAAAATATAGGACATAATATTCCTTATAATTATTTTAACCTTTATAATAACATTTGGATTATTAGTTGTATTTTCTGTGTTAGCTCCTTGAATTCCTGCTATTAAAAAAAAAAAAAAAAAAAAAATATATATATTAAAAAATAGGTATACAATTAAATAAAAGAACAAATAACTCAATATATCAATAAGCGTAAAATGAGTTATTATTTTTTGTTTATTATTATTTTTTTTCTTTTAATATATTTTAAATTACTTTCATTCACTTTAGAAATGCTCTGTACTTTTTCTTCTTCTAATTGTGTATTATTTTGTTGTACTTGAGATGATTCTGCATTGGGGTGAATATTATTATGATTATTTTGATCATTACTAAAAGTTATATTTTGTGTATTTTGTTGAGATGGAAAGTTTTTATTTGCTAAATGAGTCAAATTAGACTGTTGAACTTTTACATTTTTCTCTGAGTTTACTGAATTCTGAATAAACATTTGTTGTTTATTTACTTTAGGCATATAATATTGATATTGATTTTGTTTATCAGTAAAATCATTTTTATTATTTGTATTCATAAAATAGCTTGGCTGGTTTCTAATATTTGAAGCAGTATGTTTTGAATAATTTGGTATGTTCATTTTATCATTACTTAAAATATTCGGTACATTAACATTCATTGTATTATTTTTTTGATATAAATAATTATTATTATTAAATCTATTTGTATTCATATAATTAGATTGAGACATATTTTTATTCATATTCATTTTTAAATTTATATTTTTTTGTTGAATATTATTTGAATATCTATTATTAAAAAAATTATTATTCACATTATTCGAAAGATAATTATTATCCATTGCATTTTGCTGCGCTAACATATAATTTCCTTGATAATAATTTCCAATAGAATTTATTTCTTTTTCATAATTTTGTACATTCATGTTATCATATGTATAATTCATGTTATAGCTTGAAATATCTGGATTATTTACACCTAAAATTAAAAATATACATTAAATATTTTAAGATATACACTTATAAATTTAAAAAATAATATCTAAAAATATTTCATGTAAGCATATATATAAAAAAAGAAAAAAAAAAAAAAAAAAAAAAAAATTTTTACTTGGAGCTGGTTGTTGCATATACGAAACTGAATTATCTCCAACAAATCGCGGATTTGGCCTTTATAATAAAAAAAAAAAAAAAATAAATAAATAAATAAATTTGTAAATAAAATAAATATAAAGTTAAATATATAAATTAATTAAAATATGAATAAATAAAAAGAGAGTATGAATAAAAAAAAAAAAAAAATTCTTTCATTTCATTTTTCATAGATAAATAATTACTTTAAAATTGCTTTGTTTTTTTTTTCGCTAGTGTTATATTCATCAGTATTGTCATTTTTTTTTTTAAGCTCTATTTCTGCATTAAAAAATATATATATATTATTATTCTTATGAAAATATTTTTTAAAAAAGTATTTGCAAAATAATATAATTAAAATATTAAATGAAATATTGTGATAATATATAACGGCAATATTTAATTATAAATTTTTTGATAATTACCACTTCTATTTAATAAATTATCTAAAAATATTTCATTTTTCTTTTCTTTTTTATCTTCCTCTTTTTCCACATAGATGACACGACTAGGTGAAAAAGAACGGCTTGTACTTTTATCACTCTTCCTATATTTATCTTTTAATTTCATTTTATCTCCATCTTTACTTTTATCTGTTTTTTTTGTTTTCATTTTATTTTTATCATAATGAAATTTTCTCATATTAGAACTAGATGAACTTGAACTTAATCCCCTTTTCTGTCTTTTTTTGCTTCTTCTCCTTGAAAAAGATGCATCTTCATTAGAATACTTACTACTTCTACTTAAAAAACTTCTTGATCTTTTTCTAACACTTGAAAAATCTTTTTTATTTGTATCATTTTCCTTTAAGCTTCCCTTTAAAAAGTAAAAATTTTTATTAGAAAAAAAAAATATAAAAAAATATGTCATTATGAATATAATAAGATTTAAAAAATTATAATTAAAATCTGTACATCTTTTATTAAATATAAATTTTTATATTTATACTTATATTTTTTATATTATTTTATTTTTATTTTAATTTTATTTTTAACTTTTTTTTATTTATTTATTTATTTATTTATTTATTCTTTTGTTTTCTTTTTTTTTTTTTTTTTTTTTTTTTTTTTTTTTTTTTTTTTTTTTTTTTTTTTTTTTTTTTTTTTTTCTTTCTTTTTTTTTTTTTTTCTCATTTTTCATTTTTCTTTAAACATAATAATTAAAATATATATATTTATGTTCATCATGAAATATAAAATATATAATTATATAATTATATAATTTTCAGTAAGCACAAACTTTTGTTCTCTTGCTATGAATAACCGACTGCCTTATCCTTGAGTCTACAAAATGGGGATAATAAAAAAAAATAATATTTATATATATATATATATAAATATTAATAAAACTTTATTATAAAAAAAGAAGAAACATATATAAACTATAATAATTTAGGAAAAATCATAAATATTTGTATGTATGAATATTCAGAGAAACAAAAAATATATATATGTTAAATATATGTCTATACCTCTACTTTTATTAGATTTTGATAATTCGTCATGTTGTTTATCTTTAGTGTAACCAGATTTATGTGATTTTTCATTTTTTGAGCTAATCTCACTAATTTTTTTTTGCTTTTTTATATCATTCATAAGTTTCATTAACCAGTTAACGAAAACAGTGGTCTGAGATTAATATGAAAAATAGTAAATAAAAATATAAAAAAAAAATATATGTATTATTAAAATATTATTTCTTTTTTTCTTTAATAAACAAATAACTTCATATAAATATATGTATAATTTTGATAATGAAGTTATATTTATAATATTGTTTTATGTTTTTTTTTTTTTTTTTTTTTAATGTGTAAAAATAAAACTTTTTCTTATATATATATATATATATAATATTCATATATTTTATTTTTGAAAATTTTTTATGTTTTTCTTTTCTTTTTTTATTATCATATTATTTACATGATCTCCTAAAAAATCCTTTAACTCATTGCACATAAATTCACTACTACTTTTTGCATTTCCGGCCATGTGCCATACATATTCAGTTAGTATATCAACTTCATATTCTCCCAATAGCTCTCTTAATTTTTGTGTTATAATATTTTGATATTTTTTCTGTTCTTCTTTACTCTTGGAAAACATTTTTTGATTTACAGATATAATTATATATGATTTATATCTTGTTAAAGATCTTGAAATTTTTTTTCACTAATATATTTTTAAAATAAAAATATATTGAGATATTTTTCTTAAATTAAACGATTAGTTATATTTACTTTCATTTAATTCTTTTTTTTTATTTGTTCATTAAAACATTATTTTCATTTTAACTATTTTTTTTTTTTTTAATACTCTTTTATCAAGTAATACCTTCAACTTTTTTTTTAATTAATGATATATATATTTTTTTTGGTGTGATTTATCTTTATTTTTTTTTTTTTTTTTTTAAATAAATTTTATAATGTGAAATATTTTACAATCAAATTATATTTAATTTTTTTCTTATAAAATCATAGATTGTTGAAATTTAGTTTTTTTTTTTTTTTTTTTTTTAAAATATAAATTATCATTTTAATTTTATAATTAATATATTTTGATGCAATTAATTTTTTTTTTTTTTTTTTATATGACTATAGTCTTTCAATTTTACAATATTTTTTGGTAATTTTGTTAATTTCATTTTTTTATTTTTAAAAAGTATCTCTTGAATTTTTTTTTTTTTTTTTTTTTTTTTTTTTTTTTTTTTTTTTTTTTTTT